AGCGGTTGGGGGAGGGACTGGGTCTGGATGTAATTTTCATTGACATGTCTACATGTCGGAGCGTTTCCTCACAACGGGCAGATGTTGCAGGTCGCAATGTGTCCTCTTGCGCGGCAGGGGACCCTACGCACTGTTCACGATCTGCATAGACGGAGGGGATTCTCTGCCTGCCATAACTATGCCGTATTTTGTCTTCAGGAGCATTGCCGAGTCATTTTCACTTCATTAGGTCAACTGGTCCTTAATATCTCATCTTTGCAGTTTCGGAGAGATGGATCAAACAAATTGTCTGAACAACCGCAATCATGATGTGCATCTATAGTCTTGTTAGTCATTGTGTCCAAACACAAAAACATGAGGAAATTCTATTCCTCAGAACATGTCGAATGGTGGGAGATTGCGAGGCTTTTGTGTGAAAGCACGTGAAGATGGTTAAATGTGTCACTGACTGAGATGTCAAGCAGGATGCGGTGTTATTTGCGTGTATTTAAATGAGGCGATATGCAAATAATTGCCCACCTCTATGCAAATGAGCCAAACTGATAAACAAAGGCTAATTCATTCACACCACCGCGATTAGCCACATGCAGTTTGAGTGAAGCAGATAACGTCTTAAGAAAGCTGGTGTAAGATTGCCGCTCCTCTGTTCTGTCCTAATCATGGCAGCAGTAGCACGGAGGCTTTCCTGGAGTACCAACATCATTTGACATTTGCTGCAATTGGGTGTATGGAGAAGTGCAATGATATCTAGCAATATAAACATACACTACAACATTGGAAGTTATTTATTGTCCAGTTTGAAACGAACCTGGGAGTCCATGATCTCGTCCTCTCTGCAGGTTCAATGAAGCCAGGTCCATATCTTGTGGAATAGATAAAACAATCAGCCTCTCTGTCAGTTCGTCGGTCAACAATTTGTTTGAATGAGGGGCTGCTGCTTGCGTTCCAAGTGCACCTCTCACGATTGGGTCAATCCCACCTAAAAAAAAAAAAAAAAAAAGCAACAACTTTTGCTTAATTTTCTTGTTTCAGGCTAGATAAAAGTGTCTGGAAGGACCAAAAACCAACTGTTTGTGATATCAGCAACAACCTCCGGAGGGCATGGGGTGAGGGGATCAAAATCTCCTGTTTCCAAAAGGCTTTATGAAGAATCTATCCATCCATCCATTTATATACCTATACATACAACAGTGGCGTGCCGTCAGGGCCTTCAAAATTATGTTATTGCCGTTGCCAATACTGCAGTGGCTCTAAGTGTCTGTCAATGTTCGGTTCTGCCAAGTGTTTCTGAACTTCGTTTGTAGCATTCAGTGTCACAGATTTAGATGGGGTTTCTGAAAGAACTTTCAAACCGGGGAATTGCTTCCTTTTTTTGCTGGTTCCACTGTTCCAACTTCCAAATACTTGCAGATATAGCCATTGAAGTGACATCCACACAAGCTGTGCTGGGGGACTCTATCGCTGTCAATTCAAATGACAACACGGTCTAATCACCAAAACCACTGATCCATTTCCTGAATCAGTCACGTGGTACGGTGCTTCAGGAAGGTTCGAACTTCATTGCCTACGTCACCGATCCACGCTCCACATTGTGGATGCAGTGATTACTCGACACACAATTCGAAGTGCATGTTCATTTCCGCTTTCAAGAGTGACTGTAAATTGGAATAATGAGTCAATTTGAGTAATTCTGAAAGCTTAAAAGAGGAAAAGTAACAGTAAATTTTTCAGTGGCGGACCCTGAGGGCCAGCAAGGCCTTCTCTGCTGGCCTAAACATTCTCAGAAAAGTAAATTTACTTTTATGTATTTTATGTTATTTTATAATTTGTTATTTTATTTTCATAAATATGTAAACAAAATTATTGTCTGTATTCTTTACGTTGCATTATTTCCACTTAGTTGAGTGGCTTTCAGTGTTATTTTAAATAACATTGAAAGCCACTCGATAAATAAGTTATTTATTATGGTAGAGTTTTTAACCAATCATATTTCAGCTAGCTGTATTGCCAGGTAAATTACATTTGCTCGGGGCCTTCAGATTAAACAGAGCAGGCCCCTGTGCACTGTAAGTGAACGGGCACAGTCAAGTTTCAATAGCCAATCAGATCACGAGTCTGACACTCGTGATCTGTATCCTGTATCCTGACTTGTTCTCGTCTGCGTACTAGGGCTAACGAGAAGGCCTTACGTCGAGACTGGCCATGTGTTTTCGGTGATTGGATTAGCGCCGTTTCTGTTTCCTGAGAATTGTATCATGATTTGTTCAATAAAGATTAAAAAAAAAAAAAAAAAAATG